GGTGTAGGCAAAGGAGAACTGGGCTTGGGGGCCCCATAACTGCCACTGATCTTCTCTCTAACTTTCACACTTTCACTTTCACTTTCTCCTGTTTTCCCGCCTACCATCCCAGGTTGCTTTGATCACATAACAGTGCTAGAATGTCACTTTCTCTCTTCACCAAAAAGCAGAATTTTAATTCTTCTGGACTATTTGTTTATAGCCAAGGGGGATTAATTAACTAGATAGAGGCTCACTTTTATAAGATGGGGAGAATAAGTCACAAGACAGCTGAGGGAGATTTAGAACACTGTTAGTGCCTAAAAAATATTAAATGATTTGGGACTTTATACAAGAAAAATGTCATCTGTGGAAAATTAAAAAAAAAAAAAAAGGTGGTGACATTTGACTGTTACTTTCCCTCATAGACATTCTATGTTTAGCTTATTAGCCAAGATAAAATGTAGATCAATTTTTTTTTTGTCTTTCACGTATGTATATAATATGAGTCAGTAAATGAGTCTTAATTGAAGAATTTGGGCTCTCTTTTCATCCTGATGACTGAAAGGGAATTTTTCTCTTGTTTCCTTGGACCAGGTGATGGAGAGGTAGTGGGAAGATGAAATGATATTTCTTCTATGATCACTCCAGTATCAGATCAAATTGGGAGGAGTTAGATTTGATGACTGATCTATAATTTTTACTTCTGTCTGGAAAATGATTTCTTGGTATAAGAGACTTTTTATATTTTTTAAAGACTTGTGTAACCTCGAGAATCTTAAGTACATAAAAGATTCAAATCTAAGAAGTAGACTGATTTTAATATTAGCAGTATGGGGGTAGTATGGTGACAACAGATAACTGTACAAACTTCTTTTCCACATATATCCAGTCAGCAGGAGCATGCTTGGAACACAATTACCAAAAATCTTCTTGATGCCATTTAAAAATATTTTTTAAATGTTTTAATTACAGTGCTTCTAATTCCTGATTCCAGAACTTGTGTGTGTTTGTGGGTGTGGAACCTGTGTTCTACTTTTCTCTTGGGGTTTAGAAGCACAGAATTATCTCAATGATGGGGAAAGGAACTAACATTTATTGCAAGCCCATGAAATGTCAAACGTTGTACTGGTGGCTCACATAAAATTTTCCTAAGATTGACCTTTCTTATCGTACAGGAAATGAAAGGACAATGAGGTTAAGTAACTTGCCCAAGGATTCAGGGCCAGTGTGCTGTGGAGATGGGATTCATAACAACATCTACCATGATGCAATGTGCAAAGACTCCATGAAATAATTCCTGTCCAACATTTTCCAGATTAAACACAGTGAAGTTCTTCTCTCTTGCTGTTGGTTGTTAGTTGTTTTCTGTGCCGATTTGAAGCCATCAGTCTTCAAACAGTTTTGGCCCTTGTAAATTAGAATTCTTCTGTAATTTCAAAGGACAGCTCTGGGGTTTGCTTTCCTTTGAGATGCTGTAACTAATAAATCAACTTTACTGTTTGGTTATTGTATCAACATGGAGAGCTTAGTTCCAGTGCATCAGCTTGGGTGTGAGTTTTCCTGCTGTGTCACTCTATGGCTAGTGAATGTCCCAAATGTGGAGATATGCAAAGGTAGTCCCAGCCCTTTCATTGTAGCTTAGATTTGGGTTTAAGTGCCTTCCAGCATGGACTACTAGTTGCCGTGTTGTTTTTGTTTTGTTTGTTTAACTGCCCTTTTTTTAAACTTAGAAGTTCCAGCTTCTGAATTTCTATACCAACTCATTTCTTTCAAAATTAGAAGTAATAGAAATGCGAAATAATGAGAATAATATGCCCACCACTCTCCTTATTTTTTAAGGATTTGATACAAATCTCCATTGGCAAATGGGGTGATAAAAAGTTTAGGGGCAAAGTGTACCTGAAATTCTGAATTTCATCCTTATCTTGTCAACATCTTGAGTTTTGAATCACCGTAGATCTGCACCAACCTTGTGACCCAAGGTGGGTACCATTCCTGAGACAAGAGCTCTGCCCGTTTGCCAGCTTCTTGGTGGGGTTCCCTGTAACCTCCTAGACAGTGCCCTCCTGCCTTACCTAATTTTGTTGGCTTGGCCTTTTGCTTATGACACTGCTGCATGAACTCAGCTAGTTAGAATTTCCATATGGGTAAAAGGAGGACACTAATGGTATACTTACGACCTCATGGTCCTGTTGAGAACATTAAATAAAATAGTTTAGTAATGTGTTTGGAATTAGGATTGTGCTGGACCCCTGGAAACAGTTAATAGATTTTAAGTTATAAGTTTAATTTATCCCTGGCTGTTGGCAAGGTTTTCACCCACACTGTCTAGGGAAATAACCAGACTGCCCTGCTTTTCCAGGGTTCTAGTGGATTCTATAAACCTCCCTCTGATACCTCACTATAACTAACATGAGAAAATTTGCAAAAGTAGGAGTGTTTATTAACGTTGAAAGACAAACAGGAATGGAGACACACTTTCTAACTTAGAATTTGATTATGTACATTCATTTCCTACCCAGAAATAAAGAATAGAAAGTGGCCCTAACTGTGTTTCAGAACACCAATTTTAGTAAAGTAGATTTTAGGTTTGTAAACCATCATGACTTTAAGCCTCTGGGAATAGCTGTCTAGAATTTCATGCCTTGTGGGTGAGAAAGGGGCACTCGTGTTATGTTCATACACACACTGCATTTATCCTTTGTTTTCTATTCTATAATTTCTAAGTTGGTGTATGGGTTTCTATTATAGAATTGGGAGAAGATCCTAAAGGCAGGCCTGTCAGGTTTTCTCTTTCTTAGCTCTAAACTAACGTACCAAAATATCTTGAAATATCAGAGCTGACATTTTGATGTGCACCATTCATGCATACTGGGTAATTAAGAATTCAATGGAAGAGTTATAAACTATAATTTAAAATACTGCTTCAGTTTATTTCTTCAGATTTTCATCTATTGTTTTGTGATTGCTTACAGGATAAAGGTGCATTTAAAGTATTTTTACCATCTATGTTTGCTCCCACTTCTGGGGGAGAAATAACCAAAAATTAAGTCAAATAGAGCCTGTTGGGTGTCTGAAGTAGGTTATGACCAAAAGCCACTCTCTTTTTAGAAAGAAATGTGTAAGAGGAATTCTTACTTTGATAACGTAATAAAGGCCTTCCTTGAGAATTGGAGCAGTATTTTCATCATCCTTCGGTTTGTTCCTTTTTTTTTTCTTCCCCAGTTTTGGACAGGAGATTCACGTATAGAGTGGTGAGACAAATGTTGACTGAAGAATAGCACTCTTCTACCTAACACCTGGTTTCTAAATAAGATAAATGTCGGTTATCACTGTCCTGAGTCATGATTCCAAGGAATGGAATGTATAAGCAGCAAATTTTCTGTTCTAAATGGAAAATACTTTAAAAAAAACCCAAAAAGATTGGTCCAAGAGTACAGTATAATTCTGCCAGAAGACAGCCCTGAACTAGAACAGAACCAGAGGTCTCACCTGTACACCGGCACATGGGGCACAGGGCAAGGCGTGTGTCCTCTCTCTTTTTCTCTCTCTCTCTCTCCTGGACTTACTTGTGTGGACTAAAGAGGATATTGCCACAGAATTTCTGCCATGATTCATCAAGGAAAAGCAACAGATTTTCCTCTAAAGAGCAACATTTCGGTGGATTCCCACTGATATATATGATGCCGTTAAAATACACTTGAAGAAAAAGCAATGGAGTGCCTGTTTAGCTCCGACAACGGTTCTGGATTGAATTTATTATTTTTAAATTTATAATTGATTACTGATTTGGATTAATGCTTTAGTACCAGAGGAGAAAAATTCAGGATCCAAATATATTCATAGAATAAAAGTGTCAACCTCCAGGAAGTTGGAGACTTAACTTTGAGTGAAATAGGCTGTTAATGACCATTGAAGTTGCATATCTAGTTTGACTTCTCATCAAGAAATTGATAATGAAGGACACTTTTATATTATTATGGAACTGTTTTCTTTTAAGCCAAAAATACCTTGAAAAGCAATGAATACAAGTATGACACAACTAACAAACTAAATGTAACTGGCGACACCATGCTTTTCATTTTCTGAGTGATAGTTTTCCTTTAATGGGTCCTTCTTAATAATGAGATAGACTAAATCCTCCTTGCATTTGGTCTTTGAAGATGTGTGTGCATATATGTACATATATATGAATAATGGAGTTTGAAAGGAGTTTGTAGTTCGAGATTATTTTCTTGAAATTTGTGATTTCCCAGCTGTGCCATTTCTTTGCAAAGTGTTTTCAAGTTATGACACCTTTTACTAGCTTTACTATAGACCTAAAATGGCTGTCACTGCCATTTTGTTCAAGACTTGGTGTTTAGTCGGACATGGGAAAGCGGATGAAACAAATACTGCACCACTTCTCTTTACAATTGACAAGCTTAGTCTTTTAATCACTGATTCTTTGATCTCAGGTTGGTATGTCCTTGGCTTACTATGATGAGACACTTTACCTTTTTTTTATGACTCTTCTTTTAATTGTGGCAAAATACATGTAGCATAAGATTTACCGTGTTTTCCATTCTAAAGTGTACAGTTCAGTAGTGTTCTGAACTGTTTACTCTGTAAACAGAGCAAGCATCTTCCTCCATTGGGGCTGCTATAACAAAGTACCATAGACCGAGTGGCTGGTAAACAACAGAAATTTATTTCTCACACTTCTGCAGGCTGGGAAGCCCCAGACCAAGGTGCAGGCAGATTTGGTGTCTGGTAGGGCCTGCTTTGTGATTGTAGACGGCTGCTTTCTGGTTGCGTGGGCACGTGGGGAAAGGGGCCAGAGAGCTCTGTGGTGGGGTATCTTCTGTGAGGCCAATGATCCCATCCGTGAGGTCTCCACCCACAACTCCCAAAGGCCCCTCCTGCTAATACGGTCACACTGGGGGTTAGGATTTCAGCCTATGAATTTGGGAGGACACAGACATTTGGTCTAGAGCCACGAGTAACTGTTTCTCGTTTTGTGTTTTGTTTCGTTACAGAACTCCAAGATGGGAGGCAAGCTGAGCAAGAAGAAGAAGGGGTACAATGTGAATGATGAGAAGGCCAAGGACAAAGACAAGAAGGCAGAAGGAGCCGGGACGGAAGAGGAGGGAACCCCGAAGGAGAATGAGACCCAGGCGTCTGCGGAGACCGCAGAGGTGAAGGACGGCAAGGAGGAGAAGCCAGAGAAGGATGCCCAGGACGCTGCCAACAAGCCCGAAGACAAGGAAGGCGAGAAAGACACAGAGGCGGCCAAGGAAGACGCCCCGAAGGCAGAGCCCGAGCAGATGGAGGGAGCCGAGGGGAAGCCCGAGCCCCCGAAGGATGTTGCGCAGGAGCCGGCGGCCGCCGCGGGCCCCGCTGCAGGCGGCGACGCCCCCAGAGCTTCGGAGCCCGAGGCGGCGGAGCCCGCGGCCCCCAGCAAGGATGACAAGAGCAAGGAGGGTGGGGAACCCACAAAGACTGAGGCTTCCGCAGCGCCTGCCGCGCAGGAGACGAAAAGTGACGGGGCCCCAGCTTCAGACTCAAAACCCAGCAGCACTGAGGCTGCCCCATCCTCCAAGGAGACCCCGGCAGCCACGGAAGCACCCAGTTCCACGCCCAAGGCCCAGGCCCCCGCAGCCCCCGCAGACGAGGTCAAACCCGCCGAGACCCCGGCAGCTAATTCTGATCAAACCGTAGCAGTGAAAGAGTAACAAGGACAGCCTATGGAAAAAAAAGAATACCGCTTAACGACGACCTGTCTCTCTGTCTCTCTCTGTCTCTCTCTCTCTCTCTCTCTGTCTCTCTGTCTCTCTCTCTCCTATACTAACTTGTTTCAGATTGGAAGTAATGATACGTATTGCCCAAGAATAAGGATGTGTTCCCATCAAGGGAGGGGGGGGGGAGAATCCAAATAGTATTTTTGTGGGGAAATATCTAATATACCTTCGGTCAACTCTACCAATCAGTCCTGGATTTGAAAGATCAATGTCTGAAAGTACAGTACATCTTTTGTACCTGAACTGCTGTTACATGCACTCCGCCACTAAGATCTGAGCATCTTGTCTTCTGCAAGGGGAGTTGGGAGTGATGCGTTCGATTCTGCCCGCAGGGCCTGTGCCGAGGCAATCAGATCTTTATGAAAGCAGTATTTTCTGTGTGTTCTTTTTCATTTACAGCCTTTCTTATTTTGATATTTTTTTAATGTTGTGGATGAATGCCAACTTTCAGACAGCCCACGTAGCCTGTCCACATGTATCTCAATGCCAATTCTCCATTCTTCCTTCCCAGGTCTTTTTGGGAGTAACAAACATTCTCTCATCCTACTTAGCCTCCCTAGATTTCTCATGACGAGTTAATGCATGTCCGTGGTTGGGTGCACCTGTAGTTCTGTTTATTGGTCAGTGGAAATGAAAAAAAAAAAAAAAAAGTCTGCGTTCATTGCAGTTCCAGTTTTCTCTTCCATTCTGTGTCACAGACACCAACACACCACTCATTGGAAAATGGAAAAAAATAAAAATAAAAAAAACAAAAAAAATGTACAATGGATGCATTGAAATTATATGTAATTGTATAAATGGTGCAACAGTAATAAAGTTAAACAATTAAACTGAAGTCACAAGGATTACTGGTTTCTTTTCCCACCAGCACGCTGTCCCCTCCTCTGTAATTGCCTCAGTAGAGAACAGAACAATGTATTGGGCATTTTCATGGGTATATTTGGATAGAAGTATAAAGCAGGATCCTCAGTGTTATCTTTTTAAAAAATTAGCAGGATGGGCTTCCCTGGTGGCGCAGTGGTTGAGAGTCCGCCTGCCGATGCAGGGGACACGGGTTCATGCCCCGGTCTGGGAGGATCGCACATGCCGCGGAGCGGCTGGACCCGTGAGCCATGGTCGCTGGGCCTGCGCGTCCAGAGCCTGTGCTCCGCGACGGGAGAGGCCAAAAGAGTGAGAGGCCCGAGTACCGCAAAAAACAAACAAACAAAAATTAGCTGGATCTGTGTCAGTAAGTCTTGGAAGAAGGTAAACTGAAGACTTACTATGTCTATGGAGGTACACCCTATTAAAAGATGTGGGTGTTTTAATTTAATTTAAAATTTACTTAAGAGTCACAAATATTTTGAATAAAATACATTAAAGACAATAAATAGATTTGAACTTGAAGGCTGGGTAGAAGAGAATTAATAAGGTCTTATAAAAACATCACATGTATGTAAGTTGTGAAGCCACTGAAGATTGTTTTGTTTTATCTGTTAATGGACCGTAGTCATGATAGAGCCCAGAAAGGGGACCTGAGTGTTGTGAGCAGGCCATGAGATAGCAGTGGAGTGAAAGCAAGCATGGAACTGGCCTTTACAGTGACCGGATTCCTGTTCAGATTTTGCCTTGACTAATGACTCATGGCTTTTAAGTCACATCCAACCTGCAGGCTCTACCTACAGGAGGGTTAAGGCAAAGCCCCTTTTACTTCTGAAATATTTAATAGTTTGTATATATGTCTGATGACAGTTTTATAGGATGGACAGGTATATACCAACAGATGTGATGTCACCTCTGTCCCTTGATTTCTCCCCCAGAGCTGGAATAGTGACCCTCAGTTTGCTCATATTCTCTGTAGATGGGGAAGGGGTTGGAGAGCTGGTGTCAGCAGTGGCTTTTACAGAGCAGCCAGGCACGCGTATCAATTCTATAATGTAAGAAAAGAAGGAATTGTCTCTAATCTCTTGGTAGTGATTTTGGTCTTTCCGATTGGATATTAGAAACCAAATCTCAACTATAAAACACTTAAAAATGAATTTAATAGTAGCCACTACAAAGATTTCTCATGATTGAAGCAGTTAAATGGCAGGTTTGGGGGAGAGTGGGATTGGGTGGTAATTACCTAGAGTAATAAATACAGTTTCACCCTGTAACCTAGAAAATTTTCTTTAGAATTTGTGAAGGGCCAATATACTGGAATTAATTCTCAGATGGACACTAGTGATATAGTGGATGCGGATGAACCTTATTCGGTTCTTAACGGGTTACATTACACATGGTTAAATAAAAAAGGAGAAAAAAGTCCCCTCCAATTATCGTCTCAGTAGTCTAGTATGTACCACACCTGAGATGTTGCCAGTGGGTAATACTGGAGAAGAAGAAATGGTAAAACTGGATACTAGGCTATACCTGTTGGGTTTAATTCATATCTATGGTCAACTTTTGGCACTTTTGGTTCTTGTTTCTTGAAATAAATTTGAACTCTTAATGCTTGAAAGCACAAGAAACAAGAAATATATAAACACATGAACCACCAAGCAACTGTTTTAGGTAAGAAAATTAGCAGAGGAATGTCCAGATTATTACTGGTGTGTCCTAGCAGGTGTAAAATAGCTCAGGGGTGGGTTGGTCGTGGTGGTGGGGAGATAACAGATTCTATGAACCATGGAAGACATTTAAATAGTTACTCATATTAAATACCACGCATTTTTTGCAGACAGATGTGCTTGATGGAGGTCATATAAATTCACTCTTCATCTTTTAATAAAAAATTCACTAGGATTTTGGGTAATTAGAACAATCGAATCAGCCTCCTGGATTAGCGTTTATCCCTATAAATGGCCGTTTAGGGATAAATGAAACTAAGGAGGCATTTTTCCTAGTTTATTGACACGTAACAGTTGTTTTGTGGGAGAATTAAAATCTGAGCTGTTTTTCTTTTTTCTAACTCTAGTAGGTGTTCCAGCAATGAAAAAGTATCAGAAATATGATCCCCCAAATATTGAAATCAGAATTTTAACCTAACTGCGGCTCATGACATCTAATTTTACCACAGTTAAGAAAAACTTAGCTTGACATTGTATATTCAGCAGAACGTGTTTTGCGTGTGGGAGTGATGGGCTCAGGAAGGAACAATGTTGAGCATCCATTTTAACTTTGGAGGAAACTCGATCGCTCCCTTTTCATGAATGATCTTAAATAAAGTGAAGGTAATGCACAGAATTTGCTTAACTGGCAACTTATTTGGAGACTCCCCACACGTCTGGCTTAACTCCCTCATGCGTGTTTAACGTCTGCTTTACGAAGAAGAAAGGGTTCCAGGGTCTAACACTTGTTGAGTGCCTATGGACATACTGCAGGTAGGAAACTTAATAGGAATTGAAATGAATTTGTCCACATTGACCTTGGGTGTCCTGTCCAGCAGCTGACACTACCTCTGCATGATAGGGGTGGACCCAAGTCCTCAAGAGCTGGGGTGTGCCATGGTGATCCTACCTGGACTCAACCCTAAGAGCAGGCCATCTTCAGCCTGTCCCTGGCCACTGAGGCAGAGGCCACACGTGGCCACCATCCAGGAATGCCATTTGCCATTCTTAGAGGGCGTCCTTCCTTTCAGTGGGGTCAGACCCAGGTCCAGTGTATACTGTCAACCGCCAGGTACTGACGGGATCTAGACATTCTTTAGCTGCCTAAGTTGGGAAACTTATTAGGTGTCAACAGCTACACACTTTGTTCTCATAAAGCATCCTGAAATCTTAATTTTCATTAAATGACATACCGTGGTATATTGAAACACAGCATCTTCATTGAAACATTCAGCATATCAACTGATGTCCAGTGTCAGAGCTGGCTTTGGGACACCCGTCTTATGTTGTTCCTTTACATATAGAAAGCTTTGACATACAGCAATTTCAGTCAAGTTTCATTTATGGGAAAATAATCTACTATTCAGAGAATTTACTATTTTGTTTTTATCCAATTCTTGTCTCAAGATTAATGAGCTTAATCTCCATTCTTTTGATTTCTATTTTCCAGAGTAACAGCAGTTATTTTGATCTTTATTTTTAACTAATTTACACAAGAATGGAAATCAGATGCTTAGAAGATAATTTTAAGAATATACCAAATAACAGTGCCACTAATATTTGTGGGATTAATCGGACGAGCTTTTCTATGCATCCTTATAAAAGGCAAAATTTGCTTCATTTATAACTGACACTTTTTGGTCAGCCAAGTAGTTGATATTTTAAACGTTTAGCTCAGGGACTACTATTTGGCTAGGCTGTCACATTTTTTTACCCTTTCTGCTCATGAAAAAGTTAAAAGAGTAACGTAGAGAGTTTTTCATAAAGGTATATGTCCTTGATTTAAAAAAAAATGCTATTTCCTTTAACAGCCTGTATGCTGCATGCCTTTTTAAGGACAGAAATTTTATGAGCATATGAAATCTCGAAATCCAGGAACCATTGGTTCAGTACATTTCTACAAGTTTTTCTCAGTCTTCATTTTATTAAAAGCAATTTTCCTTCTGAAGCTGTATACTTCCACTCATTTACATATTTGAATTCCTAGAGGGAATATCTATTGAAAGAAGAACGATGCTCTTGAAAATGAATACTTAGTACAACTGTACACATTGAAATAGAAAAATCAAATAGCAATATCATATATCTCTATCTCATGTACACTTGACCTTCATATTTTCCTAAGGTCCAAATGTCACATTTGTTCCTCATTTTGTTCCCTTTGAAGGTAGTTTTATGTTTCCCCCAAGTTTCCCTCTGAGTCCAGGAAAATTCACATTTAATATCATTCATTTATAAATTAATTAGCCTTCTATAATGTATCCACCTCTTTTGTTTTAACTCCCTCAGGTTCATGTCTTTAATGGTCGAATGAAAAAATGATACAGCAATAAGCACCAATTTAGAATCATCTAGAAAGCTTTCATATTTGCTTTCTTCACATATGTTTTTGCTTATATAGTCCAGGATTTAAAAGAGTAAGAGTAAAAGTGTCTCAAAAATGATGTATTGGGGAATTCTCATCTTGAATGTGGCTTTACATGTATTTCCCTAATTCTGAGGCAGAGTTTCAGATAACGAAAACAAAGCCAGACAAGCTGCGGGCTTCCCTGACGTCATGGGTGTAGGAACATCTACTAAAACTTAAAGAGAAATCTATTTTTTAAACTTACATAAATATTCTGATACATTAAAAACATATATCTTAAAGACTGAGTTTCAATCATTAGAAAGCCTACTGGCAACCTCACTATCTTTTGGCTTTTTAAGCTATGAATTTATTCAAGTAGAAAATATGTTGGAGTAGGTACCAAAGACTCTAGCTTTATAATTGACTAAATTAATCCTTAATGCCTACTGGACTGTACTTAAGAGCCACATATCCAGAAAGTCAGGCCCATAACATTGTTACTCAAGGAAAAAGGCACTTTTTATAACCTGGAGGAAAACACATTCACTTGTAATACACTTTTGTGAACAAAAAGGACAGCGAAGAAAACAAAAAAAGAAAAAGAATCTCTGAGCCCTCAAAAAGAAAGCAATCCTCTTAATGGAAGAGAAAGACTACATTTTAGTACTTTACTGATAGAAAGGACCCTGTTTGGACATTTGCCATGAGCAGAAGGAAATGACACGTCTGATTACAATTGCCTTTCGCGCAGGTTTGGGAAATTTGATCTGACAGGTGAACCCCATTAAAATCTCCGATTAGAAGAAGGTCCTAGAGCAGCAGTGAACAGTTTCCACGCTACCCTCTGCCTCAGCCCAGACGTCTAAGAATAGAGCTGCCTGTCAGCCAGAGCCACCCACCGCAGCCACCAGAGTCTGA